TTTCTAGACTATGCAACATTTTAAATGTTTTATGGGTGGAACTGAGTTCTAATCTACAGCTCCAAAAATCACTGGGTAAAATGAGATCTGCTTCAGCAGTGAAGGAGCACCTTCTATAGACTAGTGACTGGGATGCTGGATGCCAACTGCCTATCTGCAGGTTTCTCTCTCTTCAGTATATGCTTTTTTACTCCCATGAAAATCAGTAGAACTTGTACTCAACAAACAGGCAGAATTGATTTATTGCATATAACAAAGTTATCGTTTTAAGCAGGGCATTAAAAAAAATAAATATACATTTAAATGCTCATTTAAATACATATAGTAAACAAGGAAACTCATAGAAAGCGGGCAAAATAACTGTGAGACGAAGCTGGGAAAACAGTCCCTCAGACCTGGCTGTGACAGGGAAACAACTTGGACCACGTACCCAAACACTGCATACACTCCCTATTCCAGGAGAGGCAGTGTAACACTTTTCCTAAGGAGAAGCAGGAAACGGTGGGAGTGAAAGCTTAGACTTAATGCAGAAAGTAATAACTAGTGCAACTTTGTACATAATTGTAATATTATAACTAAAAATAGTCTTCAAGTGTACATTTTTAATACCACAAAATGAAGAATTATGTTTTGTCTTCTCTTCCTGGCACCCTTCAGTTGCTCTCTCTATCATATGGCCAAGTCTAAATACAGAAGCTTAGAGGAAGATCTCTTAGATGCCAGACTCTCATTGATTTGATTCCTTGGCTTCCCATGAATAGCACTGTGCAATTTAAAAGTTTGTACCTTATGTGTATTAAATAAATACATTCAGTGATTTTTCACTCTGGAGATGTTTGGATCAGTATATTGCAATACATGTCAGACTAGTTAATATTTTGTGATTAATTATTTCTGCAAATTAGTGAAAATACATTATTGTAATAGTATGAAATAGGGAAGGCGGTTGACAGGATCAGTCCTGTGAGAAACTTCTCTGATGCCCCTGTAGATTTAGTTTTGTGTCACGATAATACTTCACTTTACACAAGGTAAACTCACTATCACTGCTGCCTGCATTGATATCCAGAGGTGTAATTTGGCTCCCTCTGAAAATTACTTGTTTGCAGCCAAGCCAGGGGACGAAAGAACAGGGCACTTGATAGCTGACTATCTAGGGTTATCAATGCGTTATGTCCTCTGAAGCGAAACAGCACGTCACCTTCCTTGAGTGAGTTAACCATTAGCATTTGATCCAAGCATGTAGCCAAAACTGTGGTTACTTTAGAAGATAAATGGCCTATGCACTGGTTATGCATGTTGTCTAAATCACATACTTTCCTACACAGCCAATGAAAAATAACGTGCCCTTTTCTAGTAGTACTCTGTCCATGCCAGGCAGTACCATGACCCAAGGGCTCACTGCAGCCACTGCTGGCTGGGGCAACTTCCTCACCACGAGGCTTCTGTGACCACATCTGGGTGCATCCACCGCCACTTTACACAGCTTCAGCGTGTCAGGGAATCTGCCAATTTTTGGCAGGTCTTTTTTCAGATCCGTGTTCTGTTTCGGCTAAATAAATGGCGTTCACCCATGGGCTGTAGCTGCCGCCAGGAGAAAGGAAAACGGGCGGGAATGGTAGCGACTGGCGTCTCCGTTTCCCCACCGGTGGCCCGGGCTCTCTACGCAAACACCACGGCCCGCTCACTTGCCAGACCTGTAGGCCGAGTGGCCGCTTCGGCGCTCTCCAGATGGAAGGAAAGAGCTTCGCTACGGATTTCATCCCTAAAACACCTGCGGGGGGCTATCGACGCTCCTCGGGAGCAGGGTGGCCCGTAGAAGACCCCACGGGACGGCGGCCGGGCCCGGAGCAGCGCGGCTCCGAGGGGACGGCCTCAACACCGCCCCCCAGCGTGGCC